GGTCTAGTGCTCAGATACGATCTGAACCTAGAACCCAAAATCCAGATACCCCTGGGCATGGCGGCTGAGAAGCTTTTGCACTGCCCACCACTCCTACATGTCCCACCACCACCTCCAGGTCTTTCCATCCAACTCCCCAAGCGGACCAAACACATTGCAACCCCCCTGAACCACGCTGCAGGCAGGGCAGCCTGTGACCGGAGCCCTGCATGTGTCTCTCAGCTCCACATCTGGCAGGAAGAGCACCCCAGGGTGAAGCAAGGAGCTCATCTCTGAGCAGGGCATCCCAGCGCCGAGAGCCAGGGCACGAATCGCCTACCTCAGGTGCTTAATGGCAAGCATGGCCGTGAGGCGAACAGGAGAGGCCAGGGAATCCATCGGTTCCTCTTTTATGAAGTCCTAAAAGGCATTAGCAGAGATGTGACTCAGGGGAAGACGGATGTGGAAAGCAGCCTGCCCCCGCAAAAGAACCACTCCCAGTAAATCCAGTCCCACTAGGTTCCCACCAGGTCCTTTGCAGTTTGGGCCCCCGGCCTCCTCCCCACTCACCAGCATGTACCCCAGCAGCTCCTCTTTGTACGTGAACTGGAAGCTCTGGGAGCCGTCAGCGTCCTGGATGGCACGGCTGATCTCAGTGACTGACCGGATGAGGGTCAGCTTTAAGTCCAGGTCCTGAATTTCATGGGGGAACGACAAAGAGATGGGGATGAGGAGCGGAGAAGAACCGAGGTCCAGAAGGCAGCCTCCTTTGCACCCCTGAGAGATGTCTACAAGCCCCAGAAAGCCCCAGATCCACACCCGTCTCAGACAAGGTGCATGGCAGTGTAGGGGCTCCCACCTGGGGTAGGTCATGGTGCTCAGTGACACAGGGAGTTAGGGGCTGGAAAGTGCATGGGCAGAGGAGGGCTCGTTGAACATTTACCTTATTGAGGATGGTGATGCCAAGCACCTGGGAAATAAAATGCAAAACTACCGTCAGCGCCTGGGACGGCCCCAGAGCGCAGCACAC